CGTGAGATTTCAAGCTTACAGCACAGGTCTTATTCAAATATACCGCAATAAGGGTTTAGATTTTCATTTTGTTTGCATCTGTGTAATTTTTAGTTTCTGAGTTCTAGACTGTTAAAAATTTATATATATTTATATATATAATCCCTAAACTAATATTATATAATATTTTGACAAAATTAAAATGGGAAAGATTTTAGATAGCAAGGAAAATACCGGTTTTTTAGCAATTAATTTACGAAATATTCACAAAAATCGTCTTATTGTCAACGAGGCGTAGCATGTGAAATACCAGTTCAAGGGAAGTACCCTGTTTTAACAAATTCTGTAATCCGATATTTCAAATCTATATATTTGATATTATCATATAAGTCATAATAGTATACTCGATATTATAAACCAATAACGCTGAGTAGAATTATTTGAAAAATGTCTGTATAGAGAAATTCAAAATCCAAATGAAAGTTTTAATGGCATGCATGGGCAGACAATACTCAAAAGATGTTTCTGTTTACAGAAATGTAACTTCATATAATAGACAGGTTCGGTGTTATGATGGATTTCATGGTTGTTTGAATGTATTAGTACAGTTAAACTAGGAAACTTTAGGATTTTTTGCACTGAAGTGCCAACAAAATTTAAATTGCATTAGTATTCATGATTCTAAGTAATCTGCTAAACCTACGAAACATTGTTGAAAGCAATGAGAAAATAAATTTTGTTTTAGATAGCGCAGATAGTGAATTTTATAGTAAAGTAGTTTTATGTTTTAAGCTTTAAATCAAAATTTTTCATTTGTTTGGTATTATTTTTTGTTTTTCTCGAAATGATATTTTGCCTTTATGCAAAACAATTTAGCGTAAACATTTATGCTCCAAATAACTTGTATTTTAACATGAAAACTATATAAGGATTTAAGATGAGAATAAACTTACTGTAGGTCTGTTACGTTATTTTATTCTTAACGATGCAGGTTACAAATTCCTTTAAATTTTGAAAATTTGTCTTTTACAGTTAAAACATCTCAGATCTTTTAAGTAACTGGACAATGATATTGAAAATAGTTCATTTCCTAAAAGGAATTTAAATAAGTATCATAAAATAATTTACAGAAAAAAATCTTGTCTTGATTTAAATTTGAGTTATCATGTTTTGCGGAATTATTAACATTTTACTATTTTTTTTTTTTTTTTTTTTTTTACTTTTTTCCATCTAAAAACACAATTAAAAATCGACATCTATGTTTTTATTTCCTGTCCCGTTTCAAGATTTTAAACGTACTACGACTAATAATAATAAAGAATTCTAATAATTTTCAAATAACCCTCTTCTAAAGTGTTCGGATACTTTAATAAGGTAAAGCCTTATTCATCTTATCAGAGCATCCTTTGTATGTTAACGTGTAAAAATTTTGTAAAACTGTATTCATATATAAACATTGTGTAATAAAGGAGCGATGTGTTAAACTATTTCAACTGAGATTGCAGATAAATCACAAAATCATTTCCATCGTATGAACTTAGCAACGAAATTTCCGCTGACACATCTCTACCTCTAGAAGGGAAAACCATTTACATATGCATTTATAGGTCTGAAATAGCTATCCTGAGCCATTTAGATTTATTGAACGTAGTACATGCTCGAGCGAAACTTTCGACAACGAAGAGATATTGGCGTTTCCGTTACGAAAAACGGAAAGAAAGAAAATCATTCATACATTCCGGACTCATATTAATCAAGATTTGATTTCATTTTTTTTCATTATACACTCGTGTGTATATTATGAAAAATAGCTCTAAACCTGCAACAAGAATACCTTAACTGTGAAAGTTCTATTTCAGACAAATTCCTGCTACTTAGATATTAATGTCCCGTAGAAAATGAGCTACAAACTGTAAAATGATAAAAATGGGTTTATTTAAATGGAAATGTTACTATTTTCTCATACTTTAACAATTTTTTCATATATCCCATTTTTATTTCAATAAGGCCAACAAAAAACAGTGATTCCTCTCTAAGAACGATCACCCAACCGCCTGAAGTTAATGGACGGAAACAGAACTGTCATACGTAACTCTCTGAGCAAAAAATTCCGTACAGTGGGTTTTATAGCGCTGAAGAGAACCCGTTTATAAACAAACACACTCGTAACGTCATTCCTGGCAGTAGGCTTGAACTTATATCAAATTCAGTGTTTTACCGTACCATAAATATTATACTAAACAGCACTAATTTAAATAATTTATATCGGTAAAACTTTCGTTTCATGTAGTGACATAATTCTTCTACTAATGTTTTAACCCTTTCCAGCACGCTAACGTTTAAAGTAGGAGTTTTGATTAAAAAAAAAAAAAAAAAAAAGGTAGGCAGTCTAATTAGGCCTAGATGAGTACACAAGTAAAATTTTGTGAAGATAACACTTATCGTTTAATTTTGTCGGTGTGCCCAAAATGGCTTTGAATAGAATAGAGCTTCGAAAAGAGTTCTGAAACGATCATTCTTTTCAATGAACTGACCCATGAGATGCGGAGAAACAAAGAATACGACTCCAGTTGTCAGATTATCGGTGAGCCCGGGTTGGGCAACCTAAGGTTCGCGTTTGATTTTAGGCAAGATTTCAAGATAAATTTAAAACTAATATAGAATAAGGAGATTAGCATACAGCCAAAATAATAACATAGAAATTTCTTTTCAAAACAATTTCTTTTATACCTAAAAAAATTGAAGATTTCTTTTGAAAAATGAGGGTCTTAAAAAACTAAACATGACTAAAATATGGACTGTTTGTGTTGAGCTGCCATCTACTATAAATAAAAAAGGTTAGAGTAACCTATAAATCCTTTTTCCTTCAATTTTTCCGTGCGTACAGAAGGAAATTTTTAGGTGTGTTCAGATCGGATTAAAAGATTACATCACGGTCATTCCAACAACAATCGTTGCGCGACAAATCCTGAATGCGAGAAACAAATTTTCCGCGCCTTCGCTTCCACCAAACAAGAAAAAAAGGTCCGCACTATTTATAGACGCGCAAGCCTACGCTGCGGAATGATACAACATAGTAAGGTTTACTCGCGATCTGTGGATTTCTTTTTCGCTTTTTCGTTCATGAAAATAAACAAATTCGACGTCACAATCTCTAAACTGTTTGGAAATCAAATCTTCGCAGGCTGCCATTTTTGTCCAAAACAATTTCGTTTAAAGTAAAAACGCGCAAACTTTTAAAGCTGAAATTCCCTTTTTAATGGTCAGTAGTTTCCATTTTTAAGTAAATAATTTCAAATTTCTAATTAATTGCTAGGCTTGTTTCTATTTGCCTGAGTGTCTTTACTGATACCATTAAAAACAGGTAGACGTGCCTTAAGAGCTTTAATTTCTTTCACGTATTTCTTCGAAATCATATTTTTATTTTTTAAGATAGATCTATAAGTATTTTAATATTTTTTCATATTAAAATACTTATAGATCTCGCATAGATGAAGAAACAACGGCATTAATTTACAGTTTATATTACCACAGAATGGTAATACTGAGGAAATTGGCTTGAAAAAGCCGCGTTGAAGATGAATTAAAAGTTGTCATCTTTTTAGGTATCAGCAACATTTATCAATCCAGGGAAAAACATATCTGCCCACAAGTTTTAAAAAATCCTCCAAAAACATTCTAATGTTAGAACCTTGATTTCATTTAAAGTAGTAAGGAAAAGCAGTGATTTAAAAATTTTTCCTTTATTATTTTGCAAAACCTTTACTTCTCACAATAATACAATTCAAATGAATTTATCTTAGCAAGAGAGTGACATCTCATGCATACTGCATTTATAAATACAATATTAATAATCAGAGTTGTTGAATTACGGTGAAAAATGTTATTGCTGGTGATGCAATGTCACTGCTCAATCAAAAATGACGAATTTTTATTAACTTCAACATTTAGTTTTTTGTAGCTGAAAAGGTAATCTGATGGAGCCATTCAAGGTTTAAGTAAATATATGATTCCACTCCTAACTTGGCGGCGTTTTGGAAAATTTAGCTTTTCACCTGCTGCTGTTCTCTATTTGAAATATTTAAAAATTACGCAAACTATTTATTTTTTATATTTTAAAAACTAATTCCTTTTTTAAGAATTAAAGACTATGTGTGAACAAAATGCAACAAAAATTCTCAGTTACAGAGCATACCCTCTCTAAAAAAAAGAGTTTATAGAATTTTTTCTGATACTATCCATATTTTTTCTTTAAAGAAATTATTAAAAATTTGGGGAAAATATTAAAACTTCTATTGCAATTTTACGGTCAGAATAGCATTCGTTATAGCATTTGTTTAGCATGTTATAGCATTTGTTTAGCATGTTATAGCATTTGTTTGACTATTCTATTGTGCAAATCATTTTATTAAATTTTATATCTTAAAATATTGCTTCATAGTCAGTGAGCATTTGTTATTTTTTAAGAACATGATTTAACTGAGTCTTTTTTTTTTTTTTTTCCTTTAAAGAAAATCGCACTCATGACGACATATCTAAAATCATCAACAAAAAAAATAATAATAATCATTATTTGTTTCCAGTGTTGTTTGATTTTTGAAAGTTGTCATAACACATGCTCGAAGATGAAATGCTTCTCATAATTTGTGAAATTTTCGAATAATTTTAATCCGCCATTGTGAATGAGCAACGATTGCATATTATATTTAAGGAAAATTTCATCCAATACGTAAAGTTGAAAGTAAAGTTTTTGATAATAAAGATTAAGAACAACAATAAAAAATGTACGCAAATGATGAAATATGCAAAATAAATTTCAGTTTAAAAATATATATGTAAATATGTACTATAGAGAAAAATTTTAGCTCACACTTTTGGTTTTTTTTATTTAAATATTTACGTAGATTTAAACAATGGTTAAAATTCAAAATATTTTAAGTTTTTAAAAATATTGCGCTATTAAAAGAACAGCACGCAATTCACGAAAATTATATTCTATAGTACGATAATATAGATTTTACCTTTCATTGAAAATGCCTTATCCGTATGAAGAATATTCCATAATCACGATATAAAGTGTGCAACGCTAATAACCATTTCGAGAAAAAACACATCAATAAAATTCCCACACTGTGCTACGTTCTTTCACTTCTTTGACACGGTCATTCCAACAACAATCGTTGCGCGACAAATCCTGAATGCGAGAAACAAATTTTCCGCGCCTTCGCTTCCACCAAACAAGAAAAAAAGGTCCGCACTATTTATAGACGCGCAAGCCTACGCTGCGGAATGATACAACATAGTAAGGTTTACTCGCGATCTGTGGATTTCTTTTTCGCTTTTTCGTTCATGAAAATAAACAAATTCGACGTCACAATCTCTAAACTGTTTGGAAATCAAATCTTCGCAGGCTGCCATTTTTGTCCAAAACAATTTCGTTAAAGTAAAAACGCGCAAACTTTTAAAGCTGAAATTCCCTTTTTAATGGTCAGTAGTTTCCATTTTTAAGTAAATAATTTCAAATTTCTAATTAATTGCTAGGCTTGTTTCTATTTGCCTGAGTGTCTTTACTGATACCATTAAAAACAGGTAGACGTGCCTTAAGAGCTTTAATTTCTTTCACGTATTTCTTCGAAATCATATTTTTATTTTTTAAGATAGATCTATAAGTATTTTAATATTTTTTCATTAAAAAAATACATTTGGTATGCAATATTCATTTGGTATGCACAGCTTCGATATTCCCTCAGCTTTAGGGTGTGTCTCACCGTTAGATTATATTACACAGCCACAACATTTACCATTTATGTTTGTAAATGCGGTAAAGCCATTTTATTTATCATTCACGTTCCTTGTTACCAATATTAGAGGTGTTACCATTACATCATAATTATGTACATTATTCAATAGAACACACAATAAGGTTGAATTCTTCATTATACACGTTATTAATTTAGAATGCTTTAGCATCACATGCTTTGCAATAGTATAAATTATATTTAATTTGGAAAATAAATTCCTCCAATTGCGATAAAAGTCAAAATTCTATGAAATCACTTTCATTTTACATATTTGCATGTTATTCCATGAGTACTATCCTATGCGCTTTATCGAATTAGTGTTGTTCTCTGATTTACTATACACATCACTAATTTCTGAATTACTTCAATTTCCTTACGCTTTTTTTTCGGGGGGGGGTTAATGGTTGCTCAGAATAAATCAGAATAAAAACAACAAAAAACAAAAACAAAAAAAAATCTTTTCGTGAAAGTTTGAGATACAAACAAAATATTGTACATAATATTTTGTCTAAAAAATAATATGTAGCAATTTTCCTTTATGAAACGTTGCTACAAATAGCAGCATTTTACAACGTACTTGATTTGAACACCTTTTTCGTAAAATATAAACCGGACTTGTTATAGAGTTTTAAAGTATGTACTGACCAAATAAAAGAAATCTTTTGAAAACGATTTCTGTGTCGAATATAAAATCGCTGCAAATACACTCAGCAGTGTCCACCACTGTTCAGAGATCACAGAACCAAGAAGTACAAGGAAAAAATTCTTACCACAAAAGAAAAGCTTAAATCAGCTACGAAAACAGCATTCAAAAAGAAAGCAAACTCGCAGCACAGAAAGTACAATCCGCAAGAGAACACTGACTGTTCGAATAAAAATCTTAAAAAAAGATAGTCATACCAATATAGAATTTTAACGCGATTTTGATTCTATCCTGACAGTATGAGTTGAATCAAAGAAATCTACCATATGAACTGAAATCTACCATGGAAACAAAAACAAGTAAAAAATGTATTAATGCAATAAATCATAGGCTTTAAATAACATTTTTCCAACAAATCCAAGGAAAAGGTAGAGAGGAAAAAAATAATTTCTTTTTTTTAATAGAAACATTAATACAGCAGACGCATTTCAATTAAGTAAATATAGGTGGATTATTTATTACGGCAGTGTCCGAAGTAAATGCTTCCGTTGGAGAGAACTTCTCAGAGAAATTTACTCATATTTGTCTAACATACATAGAAATCCAACTCTACACTGGTAACACTTTACGATAGTCGAGCTGGGACGAGACTATTTGCATTCGATGGTTTATTATATCAAGCCAACAGGTAAACTTAAATTTATTTCAAAAAGACTCAAATAATACTAGATTAAATTAATACTAAACAAAAATACAAAGTATAATTAAATTTCATTTATAATGTAGGAGAATGTTTTACATTACTTTACGACAGAAATCGAGCAATTTATGCTAGTCATATTATGGTCATCAGTAAGCATTGTGTCAAACTTTTGATCCTGCCTTCGAATATCAATTAAGCTATTATAGTACACCTACCTTGAGCTTTCAAGAATTCTTCCTTTGTCACTCCTAATCAGATCGTCATCCGTCCGGAGGATGAGGGAGTAAGGTGTATGTGGTATTATTTACTCGATTTTTCAGTACTGACCGTTCTAACAGGCGAAATTTCACCTTTCTACATTCATTCCACTAGCGGTATTTTCAGCTTGACCTTGACTAACGGAGTTTTAACCCATTCTGAGTGCTTTCATTTGACTGCGAGTCATAATAGCATTGACTTTGTAGACACATTAGGTATTTTTGAAAGTAGGAGTATTAAAAATGAGCAATGCCCCCGCGGGAACTAGAACCACGGACCTCTCGAATACGCGCCGAATGTGTTGGGCCGTTACACCACGAAGGCATGCTAAGAAGATGGGAGAATACCTTATATACTTCCCCTTTTAAAGGGCGACTGGGAATTAGGGGTCCCAATCGCCAAATCCTGGTGGTGGAGAATCATCATCCACGCCCTTTTTTAGTTCGGGCGCCACTATAGAGACATTGGGTATTTTTTGAAAGCAGAAGTATAAAAAAATGAGCAATGCCTTCGCCGGGACTTGTACCACGGATCTCTCGAATACGCGCCGAGAGTGCTGACCATTATACCACGAAGGTGGGAAAAATACCTTATAACTTTATGAGGGTGCATTTTATTTTGTTCAGTCAATTGGTCTGTTCGCTTTCCCTGCAGATAATATTCTTGAATTAGATCACTGCAGCGTTGGTAATTACGTTTCAAAAGTTCTGTCCCTCTTATTCTATCCGAGATAAGGGTAGACACAAAGAATGCAAATCCAGTGGCTACTGATACGGTTTCTCCTAACATCTGATGCATTTTCAAATCCTTCCCAGTTACGCCAATAGTGGAACCAATATCTCGGAAAACTGCACTTTTCGATTATTTATGCCTGGTATACTCATTTAGGCAGCCTCACTTCAAAGCCTTTATGTTATATTTTCAGATATATATATATATGTATCTACAAAACGATCGGAAGTATTGTTGAAATACATCTATAACAATGAGATAGGCGCAACACCTGATCATCAAGCCTCTTTGTGATACAAAGTGGGAATATCATAGCCAAAGTATGTTGTTGTTTCTCATCCCCGTGACCAGCAGAGCTAGATCAGGTCCATGAGCCCATTCACCCTGAAAGTGTCCAGTACAAAAAGGCAGTGTTAAAGCAGTAAGGTACCAGCTAAGTCAATTCTACGGTTCGCTTTTTGAAATATCTGAAAATTTTACAGATCCGCACTCTAAAAATGAATCAAATTATCTTGCAAATTTAACTAGATATTATAAACTCATAGTTTCTTTAATTGTTTTGCATGATTCACTTGACCACATCAATATCATAAACAAAGAGACTCAAAGTTCTTCGGTAGACATTTCCGTGGCTCTTTCACCATTAGAAAATATTTTATGTTGTATCGTGCAATATAGAAATACTGAATTCAAAAGCGTTTTAAGAAATGCAGGAAATTTGGAATTTTTTTTTTTCCGAAAAAAATGCCCTTTAATTACGAAACAAATGACGAACCAATAACTGATCCAGTAGAATCATTTAAAATACATTTTTTTAATCTGATACAGCATGAAACACAAGAGTCACTAAGAATTAGATTCTAGCAATTAAAAAGTTACCCATACTTAATTGGTTTTAGCAAAATTTAATCAAATGAAAAAAGTCTTACTGTAAAAACACGCGGTTGAATTTTAATTCTTGAATAGTTAGCTAAGATTGCGTTGTGTCCGCAATAACATGTAGATACATATGGAATGTGAGATAAGCTATGTGACCTAAGGCGAGAAACATTTAATTAAGGAACTTACTCAGAGCCAGTGACGCCAGACGCTAAGAAATCATATCAAAACTTCACATGTGAAAACTATTTATTTTCTTTTCTCTAAGTATCATTATTTCACTTGAATAAAAATTATTGGCGCACATATTAAATTTGACAGATCTACGGAACCTACACTCTCTGATGAATACACATAATTCTCACAGATCTACTGAAACATGGTCTTTAGACATGACATGATGAAATACGCATACACTGCTGTAGAATACATTGGATCAAGACAATGTGATTCCATCGGCACAAAACAAAAGGTCCTTTGAGTAAGGAGCGCATATTCTGAAGACAAGAGAGACAAACACATAGTTTTGGCAAGCCAGAAATGTGATGGTGATCAAAAGCATAAAATTATGAAGACAGCAGCAACAGAGTAGCGTTGAAATAATTGACACTAGAGATGCTGTCTAACGCAACAGTAATGGGATCAGTAACGTAAGCGACGTTCCGTTTCCGATAGGTATTCCGCATCCCTCCCACGCCGTCACATGTCAGTGCGATGATTCCACCACAGACTTAATTAATACAGAAACAATGCCGTCATTATTAGAGGATAATAATGTTCCTAAAATTTCATATGCTAATGCTGTAGCAAAGGTACCAAGAAAAAATAACCCAACTATTTTGCTATACCCAAAGCAAGAGCTAAAATGCCATATTACAGAGAAACTAAATCAGATCCTTCCCCTCAAAGAAATAAATGCCAATATTGATTATATAGCAAATATTAAGAATGGAGGCATCGCGATCAGCAGCACTTCAAAGGAAGAACTCAACAAGATTACTAACGCCATAAACGTTTCCGAAGAAGCAAATAACTTAATAGAAATAAAAACACCAAGGGTTAAAAAACCGAAAATCTCAATCAATAATATCCCGAATACATTACCACCAAAATTAGTTCTCGAAGAACTAGTTGACCAACTAAGGATTGATAAAGAGGAGATTTCACCTCTCTTTTACACAAAAGGCAAAAACC